GAAGGTAAGCCTTCACAGACTGCCCACTTCCTTGACCATCAGCATATAGAGGGTACACAGTTATCAAGTAACACTTGAATGGCTTTATATCACCTAATAAGAGAATTTAAAAATATGTTGTTTTAGACACTAAAATTCCTCACCATTCATCTTAGGTCTAGAGTTCTGGCTATTTTATTAGATGCCTTTACACCTAAATCAGTTGACTCCTTTTTTCTAGGACTCACTGATATACTGTCGCAAGGAACTAGCTAGAGGAACAATAAAGGAGTTCACATTCAAATTTTGAAGATAATAAATAGACTTCATAGAAGTTTTTGTTTTTCTAAATTTTTCTTAAAATAAGAAGCCCTCATCTGTCTGCAACTTTGTGACTCCAAAAATTATACATTTGACCTACTGATTATAATCTGAAAAGGACTGCAAAGCTGAACAAGTTTCACTGTTTGAACCAAAAGAGGGATCAGAGAATATAATTTTGAAGGAACGCTTTTCTTTAAGAGTTTCTCAGAATAAGGAGATTAAAAACAAAACAAAGATAAAAACCTTGCTGTTATATAACATGAATTTCAAAATGCAAGACTAGATACAGTTTTATATTTGGCAAAAATATGCAGGTACTTCCAAGCCCTCATGCCCAACTAACAGTAGCCCTTAACTCTATCCCAGATTCCCGTCCCACAACAAAATTGTAATCTGCATCAGCAGATTCACTTTGAGAACATTCACCAGGTTTTTAAGAGTGTTCTGCAATGTATTTTTAAAATTATGAGTTGAATACCTTTTAAGTACGTTCCTTGAACATTCCCTGGTTCATTCTGCCACTCTGTGGCACAGTCTGAGCTGTTCGACACCAGACACCATTCAATTACGTATTTGAGAACGTAACTGTTAGGAGCAGTCCACCCTACCCATAGCTTGCCATCTTTAGGAAGTGTTCTAATATTCTTCACAGGAGCTGAGACGAAAGAAAAGTGTTAAATGTTGACAGTTCTTTCAGTAGACATGCATAGTAATAGCTATTTTGTCAAATGTGGATACTTATGGTTATTGTAAGGGTGATAATTTGACAGAACCTAACTAAATGTAAAAGCCATTTTTTGAAATTTGGAAGCTAGCATTTGAATCTTTGTCAGAGATTCGAATTAAGCAGTATTAGGCTATCTAAAAACTGGAAAGTGCACTCAGCTTCTCTGTTCTCAAATACAGCAAGTATTCTTATTGCACAGTAAAGTTTCTTCCAACAGAAAGGGTCTATTTCAGAAGGAAATCAGATCTTGACACACTTTGAATTCACATTCTAACCCTCAACTCATATACCTGACCAAACACGCCTGGCTGCAATGCTACTCTGTCGTGTGAAACACAGAGTATATTAACACTCTTAACTGACACTCTTAATTAACTGATCTAGCAGCTTTAGAACCTGTGGCTCTCTTTCAGTAGTTATACTAAAAGCAGCAGATCTGTCAGCATGCTTATTTTTTGTTGCCTGTACAAGTAGTGTTCGGAATGTTTAAAAAGAAGCTGTACTCATCAGTCAGACTGCCAGAAATGAGGAGCAATCAACCTGTAGCTACTACTACTATACAAGGAAGTGGAACATGAGCAACAAATGGAATACTTGTGGAAGTTGCAACATACAATGTCTAGGGAAATATCACATATCCAGTGGTTCTGTAATCATGTACTGATGCAAAAGGTATAATTTTACAACACTGAAGATTTCTAATAACTTTCAAATGTGTCAGCATAGCATTTGTTAAGAAAGAGTGCTAGGAAACGAACCTTTTGAATTCCTTGCTGGAATAAGTAAAACTGATGAAGGGGATGGCCCGGCTCTGTTATGGGCAATCACAGTCACTTCATAAGTTCCGTTTGGCAGCTTTAGGGTAAGGCTGGTTGTATTAACATTGTATTTCTCTGGTGGACGGGAGGGAGGTGATTTAGCTTTGACAGTCACCTCATACCCCAAGATTATTCCATTGGTTTCAAATGGCTCCAAGGCCTGTTAGAAATATATCTATTGTTAGACCGATACAGAACTAATATTACTTAACTTTTACTGTCTTTGAAACTTAGCTTAAATGCTTGAGAGCAAAACAAGTTATATAGATTGAATAGCTAAGTGTTTAAGAAACGTGCAAATTCAGAGTTCATTTCTGTAAAGCAGTAATTTCCAGAGCCATTTCTTGTTTAAATCCTTCTTTTCTTCACTCACAATCCCATACAGTAATCTAATAAAATCTCTTCTGTCAAGATTGCAATACACATGTGGCTGAAATGTGCATTTTGTGTGCTTTCACAGCACAATGGTATAAAACAAATCTCAAGTCATAATCTGGGCTGCATCTGAATATAAAACTGCATAAGTAGTTTTCTTTTACTACATGCAGAAAGAAAATCTGTTTATTATTTGTAACAGTATTAGTTTTCAGATAACTTAGAGAAAATTGTTGAAAAAGGTAAACTTAGTAGTTTAGCAGTAGCACGAGTCTGCTAAGCTAATTGCTTGGCCTCAGATGCTGAACTAATTAATAATTTCAAAAGTGGCATGTAGGGTATATGAGTTAGAGCAGAAAATCATGCAGTATCAATATACACATAACTTCACCCAAGACATCTAGGAATGGGGTTAAAAAAAAAAAGACAGCTAGGTCAAATTTGACACAAAGTTCACAGACTAGAAGAAAGCAAGAGATGAGGACTGACCATAATTGCATTCAGTTTCTCAACTTTGTACTAATTTGTCAGCTAGCTGCAAAAAACTACTGCATGCAAAAGCACAATGCTGTATTTAATAAATCTGGTCTCTGGAACATCTTTAGGGCTTAACGGGTTTAGAAGCTACAGGATCACTGTCCAACCAGTGTTAAAAAGCTGCAGGATACAGCACAAAGTTTAACATGAAAGCTTACTTTGTTCAAGTGAAAGCTTCTAATTCCACAGGCTACTTAAAGACAGTAGGTGAGGAATCAGAACAGATCGTGCTAAAGTAGATGCTGTATACTCTAGTTTGCTGATGCTTGCCAGTTAACTGATGGCATTTGTACCTACCTGTTTAGCGTACCTCTTATAATAGGTAGCTATGAAAAATTAAGGTTACTTCCAGTGTCAATAAAACCTGCACCACTCCAGCTATCTACTCAAATTTGTTGGGGTAAAGGTTTTTCATTTCAAATCACGTGTAAAACAATGCTCAAATCCTGCAGTTTATCACTTTGCTTTACCTTCCACATCAGATGCACAGTCCAGAAAGCTGGTGAGCGAGAAGCATCAATGATCCTCCATATAGGTGGCCCTTTAGATGGTTCTGACGAATGAGACAACACTTCAGAAATATTTCGCTCGAATCCATCATTTTACTACCTACCGCTAGCTTCTTACCTTCGTTTTTTAAAAGCTTGTTCAAACTGTTTCCTTATTTCCTTGAAAGCCTCATGATACAAATGCAAATATATTTAGTACATTATTAGGAAAATCTCTATGGAAAGGTTTCTTGAGGCAATGAGCAAAATACCAGTACAATTCTAAGTGCACCAATATCAAAGTTACTGAGCGTCACGATGTTGAGCATTTGCAGTAATGACTGCACAAGACAGTACAAAAATAAGGCATGACCAACCTATCTTGGGCAGCCTGTGTCCAGAGGCACTTCTGTATGCTGCACCTCCTGCCCACCTCCCCCAAGATCACATCAACTAAAAAAGGGAAGTGCAAAAGAGATAATTAGCTGACAGGTTTCTACTGTCGTAAGTCCCTAAGTCTCCATATATCTTATCCTAAAAAGGGCAACAGAACAGCAGTACTTCGTACAATACTTCAATATTTTCGTGTCAGTACTGTTAAAAGATTTCTGCTACAAATTTAATTTCAAGAGAGAATGAATCAATTTATTATGCTGCATAAAGGAAGAAAGAGTTGCTAATCCTTTGAGAAGGCCTTAGCCATGAGAGAAAGAGAGATCAATCTTAAACTGCAGTTGCATTGATAATCTTGCTAGACTGCCTGTGTTTTCTCTGGGAGTTGTTTTATTGCATTTTTAATATTAATCATTTATTATTTACATACATTTCCCAATGCGTTTAAAGCTCAATTATACTGTGAATTTTTTGGAAGTTTTACCTCCCGAAAAAGAAAGAAAGGTCCTAGAAAGAATGCAGCATTTAAAAGGCAGTTTTGTAATATGACTATGAGAGCAATAATAATGCTGTAAGTAACTTAAAGCAGGCAGACACTGGACTCAATCTTTGCAATAGGCAACCGTGCTATGAAAACAATCTGTAAAATTTTGGTACAAGTTTACCAATTTTGCAACCTAAAGTTACTTGTCAGGGTCCTATAGTTGGAAGGAGTAAAAAAAAAAAACAAAAAAACCAAAAAAACAAAAAAACCCCCAAGAATGAATCTCAGGTTAATTGAGATTGTTAGAGAAACTAATTCTCAGTGGATACAGTTAGCGTTTCCAGTCTTAATCCTAGCTGTATTCATAGAAGGGAAAGACAGTAGGAGCTGCTACACAGTATACACACATCAGTGCAATGTTCAAACTGAAAAAAAAAAGTTAATTGTTTTAGGAATGTGAGGTCTTAAGTACAATGAAAGAAAAGATGATGATAATGCCTGTGTTGTCGTGATGAGGACAGCCCAGCAGCAGAACAGACTGCCCAGAGAGGCTGTGCAGCCCTAATCCTTGGAAGTTTGAGAAAAAGCCCTGAGAAACTTGGACCTCCAAACAGACTCTCCTCTGAGCAGGTTGAAGGATTAGAGACTTCCTGAGGTCCCTTGAACTACTCTGCAATCCTATAAATTGGCATGTGTACCTAGTCACATGCAGGAGGGTATCAGGCCTCTGAAATTGTCCCTAAGAAAACTCAGAAAGGGAAGTTACTTCATTGCAGATTTATTATGATAGCAACAATGCCAATTAATTAGCAAGCATACAGGAATAAAAGGTAGATGTTCTATTGTTATCCAGCAAAAAACAGATAATACTTATATTTGCTACATTTCACGAGAACTAATTGCATGGTTAATCCCCAACAGCTTACTGCATGCTAAATTAGTTCATTTTATTTTTAGTGAAAAGCAAATACACTACCACAGGTTGTTTCGACATTGGCAGAGGCTCAGATTCAAAAAGATACCAGTCCTAAGCATCTGTTAACAACATTAAATTATTTCCAATTCAATCTAAGTAGGTTATTCAGATGAATGGCAAGAGCAGGGACCACAGAAAGGTTGAGTTATCCACTGAAGCCCAATGCTTTTATGGGGAGATTACAATTTAGGATCCTATGGACAAACATAGTGCAGCATGTGACTTTTGTTAACAAATCCAGTTTGTCCCAATTAAATGGCAAAATATATAGATCACGGTTGTGTCTGTATATATACTGCATATAGCTTTGTTCATGTTATTGGAAAAATTAAGAAACCAGTATTATTTGAAAGTGGTTGTTCTCATACTGTAACAGATACATGGATGTGATTCATGTCAGTGTTCCAAAAATTACTACTCTATCATTGCTGAAACAATTGCTAAGTAAGCAAAACAAAAGCTCCCACTTCCCTCACCCAAAATCAACTAGCAGAACACTTTTAATATGCTAGTCTAATGATCTCGGTAAACTGAGTTAGCAGGCATACTGTTTTTATGGTAAACTAACTGAGTTAGCAGGCATACTGTTTTTAAAGTTCAAGAAAAGCGTACACGAAAACATCACTAGCAGGAGATAGTATTGGAATGGCTTCACAAGCTGTCAAGTACAGTGAATTTCATAATACATTCAGTTGTAGCTGTTTTAATACCACAATGCATATTTTCACTTTGTGTAAAAGCAATGCATATGTTGATGAGTAACTGCAAGCACTAAATGAGGTTAAAAAACTTGCTGTGGAACGCAGAGGATAAAGACACCAAGCACAATAACAGTCTCAGGGCCACTGCTCTGAAGGAATCAGACAGAAGTCAGGCTGAAACTGCACACTGAAGAGCAATCAGTTGAATGGAGGTGAACAGCGTCATTACGGCACAAGGAGTTGAATGGCCAGACACGTTGGTTCAATCAGCAGGTTGTAGCGTGCATGGATTTGGTGGATGATGGCAACTCAACAATGCTGAAGATCCATTCCAGGAAGCAGGGAAGGCTGACCCTTCACTGGCAAAGACTCTTCAGTAGTTTTTTCCAGGTCAGTAAGCTTATTAAAGCTTAGCCTAGTGGTTTGCTAAATCCTAGCTATCTTTTGGGTAAGAATCAAAAAAATAATTGCTTTATACTTTGAAGCTGTGTACATCCTCCTTGCAAAGTGCTTTTGTGCAAGACTAAGCATGACCCAAACACTGACTCAAAACAGTTACAGTTGGTAAAAGTCTTCCTCATTAAACCATGATAGCAGCAATTCAATGTTCATCTCTATTGCATCAAGTTAAAGGATGCTGTAAGCCCTGAACTACAAGATGACAATGACTGGGTCACCAAGGAGGAACACTGTAAGGTAACAGTAATTTATTTGTGACTAAATATACCTAAGTAAAACCATTTTCCACATCGCTTAAAATGAACAGGTCATTATACTGCATATCACCCTTGATTATTGAATGATGTGAACAAGTAGATGCAAGAATGTAAAACAAGGCTGTAAGCGATGCTGTGACAAACAAAGTGCTGTAAATGCAGAATTTCTTTAGGAAAGATGTTAAGAAAACAAAGCTGTCTTATTTGGATTCTCTGGTGAACAAGTGGCTACACATCCAACATGCATATTGCTTTATTTACTTTATTTAGTTTGGCAAGAAGTTTATGTATACCATATGACTAGAATCTTGTAGTCCATACTTATTGATGTCTGTTCCCCTGTGACTTTCTGGCGCCCTCCTAAACACCAAGTTACAAAATTAGCGTTTGTCTACCAAAACTTTCATACAATCAGAGTAACTTTGTTACAAGAGAGGATAAATTCAGAATAAAAAAAAAAAACAGTACTCTAGCAGCCCTTGAAAGGAGGTACATACACACAAAACCCATTTCTTCTTTGAGAACATGAGTTCTTGTTAAGAAAAGCTTTTCTCCCTACCTCCTATTTTAGCTGCGCTCAGCATCTCCAGCCTATTTAGCTTTATGGGAAGTTATTCTCATGCTCTTTGAAATGCTGGGTCAAGTTAATCAGTATTAAGAGCAACTAAGGATTGGCCTTGTTGCATGTATAATCAATTAGTTCAAATAAGGATACAGGATTTCAGTTGGCTTTTGCCAAGCTGCTGAGCACTTGCACATTTTGAGAGTCAATGACGCGCTTTCATGCCTTACTTACTATCTTCAGTTGTCACCCCATTCTTTTCTTCACTCCAGTCACTCCAATAGCCCACTCCATCTTCCTTCATACAACGAATTGAAAAGACATACTCTGTGTAGGGCCTGAGACCCTGAACACTGAATGAAGTTCTTGGTGAGGCTGTATCTTCAGGAGGTACCTATAAGGGAAGGAAGATTTTTAGAGGCACTGACCAACAAGCATAAAAGCCACGTTCTATGCTATTACAGCCCCATCCAAGAAAGCTTCTTACAAAATAAGGAGTATAAAACTGTTTTTGGTAACACCTTTATACATTACAGACTCAGTACAACGTTGACTTTCTTCATCCTATTTCCAAAAGGCTTAATTCAATCACTACTTTGGCAAGGAACAAATCATAGCTGCGTTTATTTATCAGATATAATAAAAACAAATACCCTAGAATAGGTGAGCAGCTATCTCAGGACAGTCTTTTATATTCTCTATATTCTGTTTTAGCATAAGCAGATTGAAAATGAAAAGAGAAGCAGACATGAATTGTACAAACTTCCTTCCTTCCCACAGAATTCTTCTACTTATCGATCTACAACACCCCGCCTCATGTTTCAGGGCTTTGTTGGATATCTGCTAGACTATCAATTGCAAACCAGCTATGCTAGAAGCCTCCAATTGATCTAGATAACTCAGGATCATTGCTTCCAGTGATACAGAACAGTGTACCATGATCACTGGCACTGGAAATACTTGGTTTTAAAACTGACACCTTCATTTTTGAGTAGCTTTTAGAATTTTGCTAATAAATGGATTTCTAGAAGCTCTTTTCCTTTCATCTTTTAGATTAGAGATTGAATGTCAGAAAAGATTCCCACTCTACATGTATGAAACAAGTAAGATCCTGTAAATAGATGTACGCACACACTCTGACTCAATCACATGCAACTTGACATTGCAATCGTTCACGGCAGAAACCCCTCACCCGCAACAGGAACAACTGCAAGTTAAACATTTGCTGAATGTTCAAGAAGCTAATTCTGAAGGCAAAGAACTGTCAGTGTTGATTAACAGGTTAGTCTTCTCGCTGAAGATACCAGTCAAATTTTATCACAGCCAAACAAGTTCAGTTCTTTAAGAATTACTATTTAACACGAGCAATGAAAAGGGGAAGACAGGCTAAAAGGACTTAACAGTGCAATACATGGGCAGATCTTGGAGTTGCAGAATAAAGTGCAGTGGATAGTGCTTTATAAAACCTCATTGTAGGAGTCAGCTGCATTAATCTGTGTCCGAAGCTCAGAAACCTCATCCAAAGGTTGACTACTGTATTGGTCATGAGCAGCAGCCTCATGCTACCTGCTTCAAACACCCTCTACTGGAAAGCCAGAAGCAGCCTTCTCCCCAAGAGGTTATAAAATTCAAAAGGCTCTGGGGTTGTATGCTGAAACCAAAGAGGGGCTGATGATGAACTGACAAGTGTTTCTGTAACAGTGATGCATCAAGGGAAAGGCAAAAAACGAGAAGCTACTGAGGACATGCCCAAGACCATGACATAGAAAAACAAAAAAAAAGAAAACAACTGTGACATGACATGCATATATTATAGTTACAGCTAAGGAATAGTTATTATTCTTTTCCAGTGTCTTGTCAAACGTAAAGCATGTATGTAGGACACACCATTCTGTATATGTGTTGCAAGTTCAAAAAGCACATCCCAGGATTGTATAGTGTTTGCCCAAGTTTTAAGTGGATTTTAGATAGTTTTGTATGTGCAAAAGTAGTCCAGAGTTTATGTTCTAGATATCGCATATACAGAATAAAAATGCAGAACAAACATATTTCAGCATGACAGGGAGGACAGCAGAGAAGTCCACCGAAAAAGCAAAACGGGCACCACATTCTGAATTAAAAACCATCACCAAAAAGCTCATCTAGACCCCAGCCTTAATGAGCAGGCCAGACAGTTCAGCACATCTTAGGAGCTGAACATTATGAACTACTGCAGTAAGTGAACTTCTGCTGCAGTTCAGCAAATGGATTCTGGGTTGCACCAGAATTGTGCACACAAGACAAGTGTTAGAGTCAATACTTATAGGTGTTACCTCCATCCAATTTGTTTCACTAATGATCCTATAGCGAATATTGAATTTCAGTTTCATCACAGCTGCTGAAATCCGATTCTCCCAGGAAAGTTTCAGAACAGTAGGCAATATTCCTGAGTTGACAGATAAGTTGTGTGGAGACAGTGGTTTCACTAGAAGAGAAAAAAGTCAACTCAACTCTAGAGCTGTATTATGTTATTATGCCTCTATAACTATAGGTACACTATGCTGACTAAACTCTGCTATCATTAAGGCCTTTCCACAAGCAGAAGAGGCTGCTACTTTAGACTAATTTCTAAAGCAAACTGCTTAACAAGGACTTGCTATACGAATGGCAAGCAAATCTGTCACCTTTCCCCAACTGCCCAGCACAGTTCAAGTTCTAGACAATAGTATTTCGCTAACGTTAGGAACTTTAGTGAAGAAACATTAACATAGTGATTCAGCAATATGCATAGAGGCAGCAGTTTTATGTGCTACTCAAGCTTTAAGAGGCATGTAGTTACCTATCTCAATGGGATCAAAAACAAGACGATCGGATTCAGCCTTGCCAAGAGCATTTGCGGCTTCTACCCAGACCTCCAGGTTAACAAAAAACTGAACATCAGCAATGGTACAGGAATTGTTTACATCTTTTGGTATGCAGTCAGGAAAGTCTTCTCGTGGCCTGAATAAAGTAAAAACAAGTTATCAAGAAGTAAGGTTGGTTTCTTTAGAGAATCTCTTCAAGGAGATCAGAGGCCTCAATGAACAGTAATCGGTTTAGCTCATGTTCCCTTCTTGATCATTATCTTTAGTGTAACGGGGG